TGGCATCCTATGACAGTTCCACGCTGGAATTCACTGAGCTCCTGAGAGCGGCCCATTCTTTCACAAATGTTTGTAAAAACAGTCTGCATGCCTAAGTGCTTGATTTTATACACCTGTGGCCAGGCCAAGTGATTAGGACACCTGATTCTGATCATTTGGATGGGTGACCGAATACTTTTGGTAATATAGTGTATGTAACCGGCTGATACTTCAGATTTAGTCCTCTTGGCATGAACATGTGTCACCACATCAAAGTTTCCAGCCTCAACAGAGAGAGAAAAACAATCTGATTACAGTAATGTGCATACTTTTCTGTGCTCCAATCTTTTTACTATCCCATCTTCCCATCGGTCTCTCCAGGACCTCCATGTAGAGCTTTCTGTTTGTGGGTGTTATGTTCTTTGATGTGGCTGATCAGTATAAAACCACCCAAATCGTTGAATGAACATCACACAACCTGAAGCCCATCTCAGAACATTCCAGGATGCCATGGAATTCTACTTTCCCAACTGAGATTCAGTCACAGTATTCTACCACATGGCTTCTGCATGTCATACCTATGAGAATAGGAGGGAAATATCTAAATATTTAATGGAACTGTTCAATGGTCCAAAAAGCTGAAAGCTGTGGTTAGACCACACAAGCCAATCCATGGTGAGACAGAAGCAAACACAGACACAGGTAACAGAGCACAAGCCAAGAGAGGAAGGATGGTGAGACAGGCATAAGAACTGAAAGAAATGCAGAGGAGGAGTGTGGGAAAGGAGCTTAAAGATGGAAGAAAGTAGGGATGTTTTCACAGACATCTCCAGCTTTTTCTTTCCAGCTGTGACTGAGCTTATAAAAACCCCAGCTGGAGTGGGCACAGTGAACATTGTGAGAGGAGTGAGAAAAGAAGCAGGACAGAGAAACCATACAGAAAGTGTGACACTGACAGATCCCACACTTACCATCTGGACTCTTAGAGAAAGCTGTTCCCTACTTCAACTTCTGGCTCTTTTACTCACTCCTGGTGGCAGAGCTTCTCACCTGCTGCCTTGCCGGTCTCCAACATCAGCCCCATTCACAGAAGCTGGCTTAACTCTCTCCAAGGAGTTCAGTATTAGTACATCTTTGAGCTCAACTCTATTAAGTGTGGGCAAAGATCAGGATGAGCACAGAGAAGAGTCTGGGCACCGTACAAGTGCTGGTTTGGATTGTCTGTCTGAATATTAGTTTCATGTGGAACACCAGGGGCACACAGGCTGCCATGTACCGTCACACAGGTAAGACATACGCAGCAGCTTCTTAACAGGACACTATTGGCATGATTACATTATTCAAACGGTCATATGTGCAGATTGTTTCATATGGCCACAGTAGAACACAGGTTGATAACATTACTAAAAACACAAGAAGAATTGAGGCAAATCCAGGATCCCCGGTTTGGTTCAGAGTTCAGATTACTAATGCAAGTACTACTAGCTCGTGTTACTAGCTGATCCTAGTAAGTGGATTGGCTACTCTAAATTGCCCATGGTTGGAATGAGTGTGTGATTCCCTGTGATGAATTAGTCCTGCCTTGCTTGATTAAAATTATTGCAGTGTCAAGAACAGTAGTTAGACTGCAGGTTAATGCTGAGATTCAGGCAAACCAGCCAAGGCAACAGCGCACTCTGGTGGTCATGCTTCAGCACTCTTGATATACACTCACTGAGCACTGTTAGGAACACCTGTGCGCCTACCCATTCATGCAATCATCTAATCAGCCAATGGTGTTGCTGCAGTGCAATGCATAAAATCATATAGACATGGGCCAGCAGCTTTGGGTAATGTTCACATCAATCATCAGAATGGGGAAAAATGTGATCTCAGTGATTTTGACTGTGCCATGATTGTTGGTGCCAGACAGGCTGATCTCCTGGGATTTTCACACACAACAGTCTCTAGAGTTTACTCAGCATGGTGCAATAAAGAAAAAAAAAATCCAGTAAGCAGTAGTTCTGCAGACAGGAATGCCTTGTTGATGAGGAGGGTCAAGGGAGAATGGCCAGACTGGTTCGAGCTGACAGAAAGGCTACAGTAACTCAGATAACCACTCTGTACAATTGTGGTGAGCAGAAAAGAATACACAACACATCAAAACTTGAGGCGGATGGGCTCCAACAGCAGAAGACCACATCGGGTTCCACTTCTATCAGCCAAGAACAGAAAGTTGAGGCTGCAGCGGGCACAAGCTCACCAAATCTGGACAGTTGAAGACTGGAAAACGTAGCCTGGTCTGATGAATCTCGATTTCTGCTGAGGCACACTGATGGTAGGGTCAGAATTTGGCACCAACAGCATGAATCCATTGACCCAACCTGCCTTGTGCCATCAGTCCAGGCTGGTGGAGGTGGTTCATGGCCACAATTTACCAATCTTCTAATGGCTGCTTCCAGCATGATAATGCACCATGTCACAAAGCAAAAGTCATCTCAAATTGGTTTCCTGAACATGACAATGAGTTTAATGTTCTTCAGTGGCCTTCCCAGTCACCAGATCTGAATCCAGTAGAAAACCTTTGGGATGTGCTAGAACGAGAGATTCAAAGCATGAAAGTGCAACTGAAAAATCTGAAGAAATTGCGTGATGCAATCATGTCAACATGGACCAGAATTTCAAAAGAATGTTTCCAACAACAATTTAGGCTGTTTTGGGAGCACCCTACCCAATATTAGTGTAGTGTTCCTGTGTGGTGAGTGTATATCACAACTCATAGCCTTTGTGTTTTATCTTTGTGTCCAATCAGGTTTGTGCATTCATAAAGGCAAGCTGTTTGAAGCTGGCCAGACTTTCTACAGAGGGTGTGACAAATGCTACTGCCATAACGATGGATACATCTGCTTCCCGTAAGTTGTAGAATTGTAAATTGTGATCATTTGTACTGACAACATACAATATATTGAAACAACCAAAACTTTATTTCTCGCTCTCTAGTGTTAGGAACCCCAGTATGGTACTCCACACAATATAATATATACTTATCAGTTTATTAGGAACATCTACTTGATACCTACCTTCATTGGTCATGTTTGTAGGTAAAAATAACGTATAGGTTGCTTTGTAGATAATTACTGACTGTTGATATGCACTTTATCATTCCTCCTCTACCCCACCCAGAGGACCAGATATTATTTAGGTGGTAGAGCATTCTCAACATAGCAGTGATACTCACACAACAGTAGCCTCA